TGCTATGAAATAGGTACTAAGATTCCTGTTATATAGAGGAAAAATCTGAAGCTCAAGAAAATTAGGTAACTTGTTCAAGGTCACACTGTAAAGAGGAGATAAAAATGAGATTTTAATGCAGGCCTGACCCCTAAGTCTGTGTTCTACATTACTCTATGCCCTGGCTATGGCCTACTACTAATATATATAATATATTATATATATATATATAGAGAGAGTATATATATACACACATAGATATATAAAATAAGAAGCTCAAAATAAGACTAAAATTTGAGTAAACTATTTGAGTACTTAAAACCTTCGCCATCTTAAAACTTTCTAATATAAAATTTCTTGGAAAAGTAAAATATTTGCTACCCACCCCTAAAAGAAAAGACACAACTTTCTAGATATCTGAAAATAAAGGGTACGCTCTTACAACATTCATTTGCTAACTTTTTTTTTATTTTAACTTTTTTAAAAACTAGAGATGGAGTTTCATCATGTTGCACAGGCTCGTCTCAAACTCCTGGGCTCTAGCGATCCACTCACTTTGGTCCCGCACAGTGCTGGGATTACAGATGTGAGCCATGGTACCTAGCCACATTCCCTAACTTTCTTCTTGCATTTGTATTTATTCTCCAAAGCCCCATCTTTTGTAAAATGCTAGTTGTTTAAACAAATTAAAACCAATGAAACCACTCCTTTTACATTCTAATATCTGTGGAAAAAAGAATGAACAAAGAAGTGAGTACCTCTTGGAATGATATTGTTTCTACATTCTTCCCATGCGGTACAAGCTCCTCTTTTCTGAGTGATGTCCCGCCTACCTCTCAAAACTCAGCCCAAGCTTTATCTATTCTGTGCAACCTACACTGATTTTTCTCCCTTCTTCTAATTTTAATTTACATTTACTGTGTTTGCTATACAAGTAATACTTTATTGTATACTGGCACATACAAAATTCTGAATAAGTATTTGTTGAATTATTTCTGTCTCTAGCAACCAATTTAATACTTACAGAAACAAGCAATTTCAGTATATTTTGTATCAGTATGCAAAATATCAGTATAGGTTATCAGTATATAATTGGCAGAATGAGATCTTGCTCACTACTAACACTAAATGGATATAATTTATCTTCTCAAAGAAGACAAAGACCATTTTTTAAAATTTATTTTGTACCTTAGAATCATTAGCATACAGATCAGGTATCCTTAAGAAATACCTGCAGATAAGCTGACCTGCAGTTAAATAAACATCACATTTTTTAAAGTCTATTGAGTGTTTTGATCAGATTAAATAAAAGTGTTTCAAGGAAACCTAACCAGTGGAAGACACATTTGGACATAGTCATTCCTTTTTTTATGTTTTCAAAAGAGAGAACAGACACAATGATTGTTAGGAGTTAGTTAGCTGGTAACAACTGAGCATTTTACTAATAGGAACCCCGTCAAGGAAAATGAGTTCTTTAAAGCAGTAATGCTTTTTAATAAATATATTACAATATCCTAATTAAGTTGTATGCTAGTTTTATGATTTTGCCCAAAGTGACCATTCCTTTTGCCTCAAGAAAGAAGTATAGTCACATTACAAGTTGAATTAACTTCTAAATTTGCTGCTGGATCTAGTTGTGGGCTGAGTATACAAGATAATAAAACATTCAGCAAGAGGTCCCCACTGTGCCATTTGAGAACTAAAGTTTAAAATATGTAAATATGTATATTTTACAAATGAACAAAATGCTGCAAGCAGATCTTATAAACTATTTCCCTGATTAGAGCAGAACTCACTGGTAACTTCTGTGAGCTTCCTCTCCATTTAAATTATGAATGCAATTACCATTGATTTTCACCTGTATCATTTAAAAGCATTTATAGTAGGGTTACAGACTCTTTATCATATAGTGTACTTCATTATTTATGTTAATTTCAGTGTTTACTCCTAGGGATGTCACAAAAGTCAACAGGAATAAATCTGTCTAAACTGTTTTTTAAAATTAATGGAACAACACATTTTTAAAAAATCAATTAATATATAATACATAATACCTAGAGAAAACTATGGAGAACTTAGAGGAAATGTACAGCTCTTTCCCCTGACTTATGCTGAAGAGAGTGACACCTATCCACAGTAACTTAAGGAATGGCCTCACAATGACCTCTGGTATTCATTTTGCATTCTGCAGTTACTCTGATTATATCATTCATAATGGTTTAATATTAAAGAATTAACGAGTCATTAAAAAAGCCTGAGCTCTGAAATTTTACAGAACTGGATTCGTATCTTTGTTCTGCTGCTAACTCATGGTCTGACTTTGGCAAAGCAACCTCCTTGGCCCTAATTTTTTTTTTTTAACCGCTAATAACATGTAATAGTAACAGGTCCTATCTTTAGGATTATAACAAAGAATAAATAAGTTGAAATGGTTATTCACAATACCTGGCTCACAGCAATTATTCAATAAAAAATATAATCAAGTCAGCATAAAAGAAAATCAAACTAATTGTGAATGAATTGAGATTACCAAGAAAGAATCCAGGCTTATCTAATTTCTCAAAGACAGAAATATTGGAATTTATAAAGATGGAAATATACAAAACGTTCAAGAAAGAGGTTTTAAAAAAAGTGAACAGAGACCTAACTTAAATCATTTATATATAAAATGTCATTTTAATTCTTGATCTAATCATTGCCTTACTAAATATTTTGACAGCTTTCATAAATCACACACAGGGAAAGGAGAGGGAGACTCTTATGCTATTCTTCATTTTTATAAGTTTATATTCCTAAGTATCATGATTTAACTAAAACACCCTAAGGATTTACTAGCATTTAATCTGATTCATAGTGATGAGAGGACTTGACACTGAAAGAACCATAAATTACAATCAAACTCTGACTCCTTAAAGATGAAGTTGCACTACTGACAAAGAACTGGATCCTTATTTCAGGAGATATAATAGTATGAATCTAGACATTAGGTCCAACAAGTGATGCAAATCATCAATGATAGGTATTTACACTAAATTTTTTCAAAAAGATTTCTTCCTACTATACAAAAGTAGACAGTGATACATATGACTTCATAAATTTTAGATATATTATTTTTAAAAACTAAATTTAACATTGTTAAGACATGTGATGAATGCATATTATTAAATGAAATTCATCATTTTAATATAAATTACAATTAATTAGAAATAATGAAAATTCCAATATTATACAACACGTAAACTAGGTTTGGAAACTAAAATTGCCATTTTAAACATTACAAAAGGATAACCAAAAATAAAATACATACTCATTTATTTACATTTACATTTATTTACTGTATTTTGAGAATGCTTTCTTTCATTGTGTTTGTTTTTACTTTCCTTTTTCAAAGTAGCCACCATCACGAGTCAAGATATCATAAAACCTAAGTTAAGCTAATTACTACGAAACAGAATTCTAATTATATTTAAAATTAAGCTTTAATTATTACTTGTAAATATTGTGGTAGGGGACTTTGTTAGATAATTGTTATGTTTGTAAAACAGTAATCATTACTTAAATGAAATTACTTCCGAGTTACTAAAAAGGTACCTTAAAATACAGAATTAAACTTAAGAGATATTATACTGTAATTCATAAAGCCAATAACAATCAAGGATTTTTCAACCTCTTTTATCTAACCCATTTAGTTAAAAAAAAGTAAATAAATTGAAATATAGGCATATAGTAAGAATCAGAAGCTATCCATTCTGAATGGTCTAGTATATCAGTTTCTATTATTGTTTTTGTGGATAGTTTTTGCCTCTGAAAAGCTAAATCACACCAAATAAGATCATGATTTAGAGAAGACCTCAATTTTTATACATGATAATGGTATGATGTCAGAAAACATTCAACTTCAAATTTATGACACATAAAAACTCCATGTTTTAACAGCCATGTTTAGTTTGTTTGAGCTGGTGAGCAGATATAAATGTAATCTGCACTACTATCAAACTCCAGGTCTGATAGATAACAAGCTAATATTTATTTCTAAGTGCTCTAAAAATTATTTGTAAAACCTGCATAAAAAGGATTGCATAAATATATTGTGATTTTATTTTAACAATTATTCTACACTACAATGGAAGTACATGCTCAAACAAGACACCTCAGCAGTATTTTAAAGCAGTAACCACCTAGCCAATTTCTGTATGTTCTGTAGTTTTTCTAATCCACTCTCCCTGTGGTTGAGCAAAATCGAATTGCCTCTCACATTTGCAGACAGCTCTGTGAAGGTGATAATAGAGCTGCTCCCTGCTGTCATGAGGCAGGAAATAGGAAAATGGCATATGGGGCTAGAAAGAAAGAAAAAAAAAAAAAAAAAAAAAAGAAAGAAAGAATGAACAAAAAAAGGGAAAGAGAACTAAACAAGAACAAAAGGGGTTTCAACAAAGAACTATAACACAATATGCTTTCCAAGTTAATCTGTTTTCAGAATTATTTAGCATATTTAATCATTCATTTGCATCCTCACTCCAAAAACGTGAATGGTTGATACCAAGTCTTTGGGCAAGTTTTCATTGTCTAAAATATTTGGAAAACACACCTCCAGAATATGTTCTGCACAATGTCTGCAAAACAATGCCCTTTAAATAGATTTTTAAAATGTTCTGCCAATTCCAAATTCATCATTTGAAAATAAAGGTAAAGCAATGTTTATTTAAATATTAATAAAATGTTTATAGCAGGCTTTGAGTATGGTTTAACTTTCCTAATTTTATGAAATTCAAAAAATTTAAAGATAAATATTCATGACAATTACACAAGTGATTAAAGAAGAAATCTCTAAATAAATTGCTAATAATACCAAGACACAGTTATCAACTTGTAAAGTTTTTTTGTTTGTTTGTTTTTTAAGTAAACAGATAGCAGCTTTCTGTATAATTAAGAATCCTGCTTTGAACAAAATGGATTTTTATTTAATGTATCTGTAAACAGAATGTGGCAGTAGATGGCAATAAAGATAGAATCTACTCTACCTTTCCTTTTACACTCTGAATGGGATCCACAACCACTGCCACAGCTCTCTCCGACAAGGCTTCAAAGCTCTGCTGAGTGTTGATATCCACACCAGAAAGCCAACAACCAAAGCCAGGGTGACTGTGATACCAACCAACAACCATCTCCGGCCTGAAACAAAGAGGGCATTCAGATGCTCAGAACAGAACAAGTAATACATTTATGATATGAAAAGAAACAACACACTAACGGGGTATAAATTAAGAAGAGATGAAAAACACACAGGTGTGAAAAAGCACCATTAGAAACCCTGAAATTGTACACCATATTATCCAGAAAACATGGAAATGAATATGTGTGACAAAGGAGTACTATCATTAAGAGATGCACATTAGCAGTGGTAGATAAGGCTTTCAGTTTTTCACCTTGTTACCACAGTTTCTCAGAGCCAGTTTTTACCCTTTCAGCATTCAAGTAAATATCTACTCTTTAACTCCTTAGCTCTGGGAGTCGGATTTTCCAGGCACAGAGTACATTTTTAACAATGGACACCAGGATCCACTGTTGTGAAAGGATTAAATATCAATTAAACCAGCAGTAGAACTAGGAACTCAGTCAAAAACCAATTTGCACTGTTCTGCTCAGCTGCTGAGCCTTTTGCTAACATTAATTTTGAAGTTTTTTCCACAGTAGAAGAATTTGAGCAAGAGAATGGCAACTTTGAGAGATTTGGTCTGAGGGAAAAAACTTCAGAATATTTGGATTATACTTTCTCTGTCTTTAAAACTATGCCTACAAACATAATTAAATATTCATAATCTCATTCAGTTGCAGCTCTCAAATACATGGAACATACAAGCTCTTTCAATTATAAGTGACTAGACAGTAACTCCATATGCTAAACAGAGGGAAGCTACAGCCCAAGCTTACTATGTGACAGTCAAGAATTTTAACATGAGGCAGTTCTCTGATGGGCAAATTTCTTTGGTTCTAAAGGGAAGACGTACTAGACAGGCGGTGCATGGCACCGATATTTACAGATACTTTTATGTCAACTATGTGACCTCTTTTTCTAGAAATGATACTGATAAACATCTATAACTTTGAGGTATGTTTCCATAAATATTTCCCATTATTTCTTTAGCTGATCACTTAAAATGCTTACCTTCCTGTCTGCTTCAACATATCCAACATTTTAGCTTGGAACACTGGATCAACTGCCTCCACACTTACACCCTGATTTAGAAAGAAATAAAAATTATTAATTTTTGTAAATTTGGAAAAAAAAAAAGCTTCCCTATGTATATTATTTGGGGTTGCCAAAATCATTTTATAGGTTTTGATACCTACATTTGATACCTACTCAAGTCATTCAATTATAAACCTCATACCAATCAAGCTTCTAAAATTGCCAACTAACTGCTGTTGGCTAATGAGTTAAGCCAACTTTCAGGATTCTTAAGAATATAATGGCCATTGCTATGTATATGTTTACCAGAAATACGAAAACAATTGAATCAACCATAGCTATTGGTTAGACCTATCTAGGCAAGCATACTTCCTAATGCCATCTTATCATAACTGATAACTAAAATGAGCCTCATCCAAAGTTCTACAAATATTCAGCTATCATAATGAAACAGCCTCAAGTCTCTTACGTACAGCATTATTTTGCTAGTTCAACCAAAATAAAATATTTGAACATGGAAGAATTAAAAGGTTCAGATCATCTCTCTGGCTATAGAGTATTGTCTTTAAAGCTCCCAGGGCTTTCTTCTAACCTCAGGAATCTAAATCAAATGTACTTAAAGAAACTAGTTAACATAAGCACTTCCTTCCCACCAAAACAAACAGTACGCATATTGAATTCCAACAGAGAGTACATCCTCAAGAACAGGGGTATGCAATCTGCTGCTTATAGGCTAAGAATGTTTTCGGGTTTTTTCTTTCTTTTCATATATATACTTTAAAAGGACTGTCTTAAAAAAAAAGAAGAAGAATATGCAACAGAGACATATGTCTTTATAGAAAAAGTTTACTGACTCTGGGGTCAGAAGGAAAACTTTCTAATTCTATGACACTAGGAAATAGAATTAGAGTGAATATAGGGATCAAAATCTTTTATTTTACATTGTCAAACAAGCATTTACATGGAAGTAATGATATTAAAGCCTAAGAACGATGTATTATAATGGATATCTACGTAAGTACCCATAACATATATGTCAGTTTTATGTATTTCATGTAGCCAAATATAAAAAGATAGAGACACATAATAAATAGTCTAAGATTTAAATCTAAACCTTTAGTTAACATGTAGAGTGTTTCTCTATTTCCAAATGTATAAAATAAATATAATGGATATCGAGATGGATAAAATCAGTAGATCCAAATTAGTTTCCCTCAACAAATTCATCTATTTAGAGAAAACCTTACATTTATAAATATATTGCATTCTGTAGCAAATATTCTATTTTAAATGCTTATTTTTAATATACATACTATATATATTACAGTACTTGAAATTGTAATTTGTTCTCTAGCATCTACCTTATCAAAGTAAACTTACAGAGCCTCCAACAGAACAAACAGCTTTATAACATAATTTCTTTAATCCTTCTTTTACAAGGCTCAGTAAGAGAAATATTGCCTAGCAAAGAAGAAATATCCCTTGGAAAAATGCATGCATATTTTTCTAAACAAACAGGTGAGAAGGATATATGTGTTATGTTTTTGGAAGGTAGATGGAATGGTTATTGTTTTTTGCTATTTTCTTTCAGTCAAAATGCACATCTATCAACACAAGTTCATCAAACAAAAAGGCAAAACAAAACAAAAATCTCTAGAAAGAATAATGTATTCTATACAGGTAATTTGTATGGAGTACGGTGCATATAAACAAAATACCATGCCTGGGCAAAAATACTCAGGTTTGCTATTGTTTTTTGTGTGTGTTTGTTTGTTTTTTAACTTAACATTTTAAATAAAAAAAGCTTAAAAGTCATTCATCACCATATAGAACATTTTTTAAATGACATTATTTCAAAACAATGGGAACAAGACATAAGAACTAGTGCATGTGAGTTGAAAATCTAAATAAGAGAATCTCAAATCTTTTGAAAACTTGGTTCGAAATGAAACTAACACTCTGCTATTATAGGGTAAGTAACTTTTAAATCCAGTATTTTACCAGTTTAAGCTGAAGGCATGAGAAAATAAATTTAGCATTAGCATCATTCAGTTTGTAGACCTATAAGAAGTTATGCTGTGTTTTAAAGATTAATGATTTCATTCAATACAATCTAAAATTTCTATCAAGCTTACGATTAATTTTTCCTAGTGGAAAGAGAAAATGTAATATGATGAGTTCGTTTGCATAGGAAAAGAAAAATGAAAAGAAACACATTTACTTGCAGCAGGCAACCATAAAAGTACTCACTGTTCCTGACTGTGGCATAGCAAACACATCAATCACTCTGACGGTATAATCATCAACAAATTCTCCAAGCATCAAACCCATAACTTCCATTGGAACTCCAGCACGGCCATGTTTTAACATCTGTAGAAAGGAAGAGATGGGGATACAAGCAAAGTTCGTCAAGGTCTCTGGTTCCTCTTCATAAAACAAAAACCAAATTTTGTTTCAGCGAAAATAAAAAACTCTTTTTATAAATGTAGCTAAAACAATAGCTTATTTATGTCTGAGAGGATTAAGGTGACAAATACTCCAAAGCAGATACTCCAAATGAAAGCAAAAGAGTTCTCTAAAGCAAGTAACTACATTCACTACTTACTTTTAACAGTGCCAGGGAAGAGATATAGACTTGTTCTGCTGTGTCCACTGCAGGAGCATCTGTAGGTGGCCCCTAGAAACAAATACATCAATTATTACAAACACACACAGAGAGTTTATGAGTTTAAAATTCAAGTTACATGTGGTATAAACTTGATATTTTTAAAATAGTTTTGAAAAACATGTCAAGTACCCTTTTATTTGGCTACGACACAATCAAAACACATTTGCAAATATCAAACCTGTAGAAAACAGGTAAAACTTAATACTAAGCCAAGGGTCTAATGGACACAAAGTTTAAGTCTTTCGGCAATGCCAATCTACCTTGGCTACAAAATGGCTATAATTTACCAATCAGCCACGTTTGTTACCACAGTGTGTATATGTGAAATGCTGTTGGACTAGCACAATTAACTAAAGCATCAACATCAAACAGCAAATTCTCTGAGCTTCTTGATTTTCAGCTAAAGACAGCATGTATTAATAGATTAAGGCTATGGGATTCCTCTGCAAATTCATCGCTACAGTGGAGGAGAAGGGGAAAGAAGACTTCTAATCCCTGGGTGAAAGAGCTGTGAACAACATCCTCTGCACGTCACCTAATGAAGCTGTTCCCCTCCCCCTATACAAACAACAAATTTAACACAATTGCCCCAGGTGTGAACAAACCAGTTGAGACAGGTATAGCTGACGTGAAAATACTTCCAAAATCCTAACCACTATCTTTAAAACAAGTATTACTACCAATCTTATTACAGGCTAAGGAAGACACTATGTTTCTCCTCTAAGGATTCTATCTTCTTCCTGAAAGGAAGCGAACTTCTCTTGACTATAACATTCAGCTGCACAAGGTAACTGACATATAGTTCTTACCCTCAAGAGGCCTACAGTCTTATAAATGTGATTCTGCCCCATAATTAGTGCACATAGAAAGCTTCTTGTTTTTTAATATTGAACAATCTAGGAAATTAAAAGGAGATATGACATAATTGCCAGGTCCTGTTTTGCTTAAAGTTCCCTTTCCCTGACAGTAACCCTATTACAAATTAGGTAAACAACATGTTACCTTATCCAAATTGTAAGCTATGTTCTCTCTCCCATTTACACTTTTACATACTGAAAGTAAACAATCGCTTTACATTCCATACTTATAGGTCTATGTGTACCTCGTGCTTTTGTGTGTGTGTGTGTGTGTTAAATTCTATTACTTTATATTGTTTCAAAAGTTCATAATATTTACTGGAAGCATTAAGTATAAAAGGTTCTAGAATGAGTTTTCTCTAAATAAAATAATTTTGTTTTTTTATTTACTTCTGTTCAAAGTGGTGGAAAAAATCAAGTCCCTCAAATTTAATTTTCATCATAAATGCCAGGCAATAAAGTTGGAAACTGACCAAATTCTTCATCTATTATCACCTAATGCAGTTTTATTGCTTATTTTTCAAATAGCTAAGATCTCCTTCAGAATGAAAACTCTGCTAAAGTAAAGTAATATCAGGCCAAAGCATCTTGCTGAAGTCATCATACAAACCTAATTTTAGTGGTATAATAATTTTACTCATTTCACTTAGAAAGTTAAGAAAGATTAACGAAAAGGTGAGGACAACAATAAATTAGTTGTGATGAGAGGTTTAGGGGAAGTAGTAGTAGCCTTAAAAGGTTAGGATAATAGTAAGATTTCAGTTAAACAGAAGGAATTGATTCTTGTGATCTACTGCATAGCCTGGTGACTATAGTTAATAATAATGTATATTTCAATATAGTTAAAAGATGACTTCAAATGTTCTCAGCACAAAGAAATGATAAATATTGAGGTGATGGATATGTTAGCCTTATGTGATCATTCCACAACATACATATTTATCAAAACATTACCCCTACCAATATATATAATTATTTGCCAATTTAAAATAAAATAAAACTAGAAAAATAGGTTAACGAACACTGTATTCATAAAATTATTCCTAGATCCAGAGCAACCTTATACATTGCATATGGAGAAAGAAGTTAAACTGGTATCTTGACTGTAGCTTTAATACAGCCTTTCTCAACTTGCCCGAAAATATTTTTTTTTTTTTAGAAAAAAAGGGAAATAAAACATCACACCATCACCAAAATGCGTTACTGACAGAATCCAGAAACTATTTCTGCCACCAAAGAAGGAAGAAACACTATTTCGTTTAATATTATATATATAACCAGTACCTAGAAAAGTACCTCGGCCGTAGTAAGAACTTAAGTACTGATTGAAAGAATGAATGAATAAATTAAGGTGCTACTGCAAGCCAATGGAACAGAAAAGAGAAATACCAGCTAGTTACCTTGAGAGACAGGAAGCAAGCCACATGTCAGTGGCCTTTCTTCTAATTCAGAAACATACTAACTCACAATGGATTTTCTTCTGATTCAGAAACATAGTAAACAAGAAAGCCATGTACTAAGAGAAGACTATGCAGCTGTTTATTGTATGAGTGCTGTTTTATTTTTGTTTTTTTTAGACAGAGTCTCGCTCTGTCGCCCAGGCTGGAGTGCAATGGCGCAATCTCGGCTCACTGCAACTACCGCCTCTGGGGTTCCAGCATCTCTCCTGTCTCAGCCTCCTGAGGCGCTGGGATTACAAGGGGCACGTCGCTATGCCCAGCAAATTTTTTGTATTTTAGTAGGGACGGGGTTTCACCGTGTTGCCCAGGCTGGTCTTGAACTCCTGAGCTCAGGCAATCCACCCACTTTAGTCTCCCAAAGTGCGAGCATTACAGGCGTGAGCCACCGCACCCAGCCATGAGTGCTGTTTTTAAAACAGCAGCCAGTGATACTTACTGCTGCCCCTTTCACTACTGTTGGCAAGAACTAGATAAAGGTTGGCAGCGGTGAAATGATGCCAGAGAGAGAGAGAGAAATCGCATATAATACACTGTCAATGGGACAGATACTAAAGACCTTGGCTAGCAGTGACTAAGGCTGTTGTTTTCCTACATGCTCACCTGTTCAGAATAGCAAAAACCAGGCAACAGAAGAAAACCCCATTAAAGACTCAAAACTGAGCTCAGAGAAGTACGTAAGAACATGAACAGCTGATATGGGGGGAGGGGAGCCAGGGCAGGGCTGGGTAGAGGAGGGTGTGGCCCCTGGCTAGGGCACCACCACCGGGCTTGCGCCCATGGACCTAGGTGAAGACAGGCATTTTTGTTTTCCTGCCCAAATGTTGCATTTCCAAGACCACCCTGGCCTGCCACTCCCCCATCCTGTATCTATTAAAACTCCAAGACCCAAGCAGTCAAAGACACAAGTGGCTGGACGTTGAGAGGAACAGAACACATCAGCAGAAGAAGACAGTGGTGGCTGAACATGAGAGAGGAGCACATCAGCAGAGGAACACACGGATGGCTGGATGTGGAGAGAAACCACCGGGGTAGGAGCAAACCAGCATGCAAGCAGGCCATCAACCAGCAGAATGAAGCAGAGTTGGCCAAGGCAGTCAGAGGACAGCGGCTTGACTCCAGGTGAAAACCATCTCCCTCTGGCTCCCCCATCTGCTGAGCGCTACTTCTACTCAGTAAAACCTTGCATTCATTCTCCAAGCCCACATGTGATCGGATTCTTCCAGTACACCAAGGCAAGAATTCCCAGATACAGAAAGGCCTCTGTCCTTGCAGTATGGCAGGGGGTCTAATTGAGCTGTCTAACACAAGCCACCTATGGATGGCTAAACTAAAAGAGCACCCTGTAACACACACCCACTGGGGCTTCAGCTGTAAATATTCAATCCTAGACACTGCTGGGGGTCAGAGCCCCACAGCCTGCCTGTCTGTATGCTCCCCTAGAGGTGTGAGCAGTGGTGCACTGAAGAAGCGAGCCACATCCCAATTGAACGCCCCGTGAAGGGGACAAGGGAACTTTTCCTGTTTCACAGCTACAGATCAAAGATGACCCAATTAGCTCCCAAGATGAGAAAAATGTGGGGCTGTGGACCATCTAACTACATTATCTTTTGGCAAACACTCCTGGGGGGCAGTATTCTGGTGATTCAAAAAGAAAAGTCACCTAAATATAGGAATCGTGAACAAAATTTTAGAAAACTATTTGACATCAGTAAAATAGAAGTTCCTTATCTTTGAAACGGAAAGCTGAAGGACAGAACAAGATAAAAAGATGAAAAATAATTAAGAATTAAAATCACACTAAGAGAAACAAGGGTAAAAGCATTATAACAAATTTAATTCAGTTATATACAATATAAATGTCTAGATGTCCCAAAATGTACAGTAAAAAGTTAGAGATGAAAACTTTTAGAAATACAATAAAATTAGGGCAGCAGTCCCCAACCTTTTGGTGCCAGGGACTGGTTTCATGGAAGACCACTTTTCGAGTTTTGGGTTGGGAAGGATGGTTTTGAAATGAAACTGTTCCACCTCAGATCATCCGGCATTATAGATGGAGCATGCAACCTAGATCCCTCACATGGGTGTTCAAAATAGGGTTTGTGCTCCTATGAGAATCTAAAGCCGCCACTAATCTGACGGGAGGTGGAGCTCAGGCAGTAATGCTCACTTGCCTGCCGCTCACCTCTTTCTGTGTGGCCCGGTTTCTATGGTCACAGACTCATATGGGGACACCTGAATTACAGGACAGACAAGAGCTCAAAGCTAAAAAATACAGTTGTTTCTAAGGATAAAATAAACAGAAACAACAAGCAAAGGCAAAGCTGAAGAAAATTTTCTTGAATTAAAAAAAAAAAAGTTCACTTTTGGGACCGTCATATGTGAGGCAATAAGCAATGAAAAAAAAAAAACTGTATCTTGAAAAATCTTAGCTAAATCTCAATTACTTTAAGTAAAATGTCTAAAACCATATGAGTAGAGAAACCAAACAGCCTGCTGGGAAAAAAATGCAACACAGGTTGACTTTGGATTTATTTGCAACATTAGATGGCAGAAAACAATGAAGCAAATCTTCAAAGTTTTAGGTAAAAAACTGAAAGTAAGAATTTTATATTCAATTTTTTAAAAACATCCAAAGGCCCACAAATATATTACTAAATATATAAGGGCTCAGAAAATAGGATTTCATATATCT